AAAATGAGACAAACTATTAAAAACATGACCGATAACTCCAGAATCTAACAGCCAAATGAGTTTACAATCAATATGATTTATTTGATGAGTAACAGATGAGATAGAAATAAGGATTGTTTCTTGCAATCCTGATGACTCAGTTGAGTCATTTATTGTTGTTGCTCTAATAGGCACAATCTAAATATCTTTTTTAACCTTTAAAGAATTTTATCATAATCACTTTGAGATAGCAATTACTGGGCATCTAAATTATTGGGTTGTTGGATTTGTGAATTGTATTCAGTAGAAATATTCTGTCCAATGGATTCATTCCTACTTGATTAAGCTACTTGACTTGGAAAGACTTATTCTTGTTGCCTTGGAGTTGAGAGGGAAATCCTATAAGATGGTAACATTGGTCCTTTCTGTGGCCTTTTCGATAACAATAGGTGCATTCATCATTGGAATTTTCACGTTCTCTGCCACTACAATTTCCTCTTACTTGACCTCTAGCCATAGTGCTCATATTGTCAAAAGAGGTTGGAGGTTGTGCAGACGACAAGTGGCGTTGTGCTTCCTCTTGACAAATCATGGAATAAGCTTGATTCATTGTTGGTAGTGGGACCATCAAGAGGATTTGACTTTAAACGCTGTGATAGGATTAGTTCAACGCCATCAAGAATTGAAAAAGTATTTGTTAATAAGAAATTCTAGACTAGTCCTTTGAGGACTCACATTTACAACTTTGGAGTGGGACTAAGGTAGCATGTTCCTCCCATAGTTCTTTAAGCTTTGCAAAATAATTTAAAACTGAAAGAGAACCTTGATTGAGAGAGCTAATGGAACGATGTAGATGAAATATATGCTCTCCATTGATGGCATTGAAGTGTTCCTTTAGGTTAGCCCATACTAAATGCATGATCTCATGAAATGAGATAGATGTTGTGATGTTTTTGGAGAGTGAATTAAGGAGCCAGATAAAATGATTGCATTGTACTAATCCCATTGAGGTTGAAGAGAGACTGGTTGAGCACTCTGACACAAGAACCATTAATGATACCTAATTAATGATACCTAATTTGTTCTTGGCCATTAGTGTTATTCACGTGGCATGACTCTAGATAGCATAATTTTTGCTTTTGGTAGGAGGATGTACAATGAGAAATGTGATTTGGATATCTAATGGATGGATGAAGAGAGGATGTACAACATCCAATGATAAAGCTAATGCAATCTTGTCCAGTGATGAGTTTGAGGTGATATTGCTTGCATTGCCATCACCATCATCGGCTCTATTTAAATGAAAGATTTAAACGGATGAATGTTGGATGGAGGGTCAAGAGATCTTCTTTTTGATGCATGAGGGTTTCTTGTGGCAAGATTGAAAGGAAAGAAGCAGGAAGAGTTGAAAGTAGCTTGGGTTTTAGTGACAATACTAAACACACCATTTGAATGAAAATTGAACCAGAGGAAGAGTAGTAGGCTCTTGATACCATGTTGAACAAAATGGACTAACTGAATAATACTTATTATTTATTTATTATTATTATTATTATTATTAACCTCAAAAAATAACTAGACAGATGAGAGATATATATAGCCCCCAGAAGTATCACACACGACACAAGAATGTAAAACTAGACTAAGCACAATACAAGAAAACCTTAGACTAATTATGTATCCCACGGCCCAATATTTTCTTCAAGGATAAAAAAAAAATTAATACTATAAATTATAGTTCCAACAATATCGAAAATTCTAAAATCATTTTTAATACAATATCTTCTTTAACTTTCTAAAAAATTATAGTGAAGAATAAAAAAATTAAAGTAAAAGGTTAAATGAGAAGATTATATCACAAATCAATTTAAGATCAAAGACACTTTTGAAGATATAATTTAAGGATTAATTTGTCATTTAACTCATTTCGAAACATTTTCTTTTAAAAGAAATGACATAAATTTATACAAAATAATTAAGACTCACCTCAAAAAATTCACAAATAAAAATATTTAATATCGGGGAGCAACAAAAATAGTTAAAATATTTAATAAATCATTACAAATTTAGCAATATGATTTTGTCGTTTTATGATTGACGTATTTTCCTCTGACCCGAGTAAAGGAGCCCTGTTTTTTGCATACGAGGAAGGCATTGATTTCTTGATAACATAAATAATATACAATATCCCCAGTGGAATATTAAGATAAAGATTTTTTTTTCGTCCGTCTCATTATTGGAATTGGAATACTGGATGAAGATAAAATACCCCCAGTGAAATATTCAGTATAAAATGAAAATATTTAAACATATGTGCGGCCATGTAAATCAAGCCATTTAAACTAAGATTAATGAATTTAGATGCAACTATTTGTTTTGATCAAATTTGATATTGTGAAAATCAGTTGGGGGTATTCCAATGACTTGAACACATGGTGGCTTAAGTGATCATAATCCCTCCACTAGCCTGTTGGTTAAGATACCGGATTGATGATTGAATTATAGCATAACCGAATGGGTTAAAACACAGAGACGAGAGGATAATTCAAGGGCCACTTGGGAGAGAGGGGGTGGGTCCCAGGTTAGGCCGGTGCCCAGTTGCCAATTTTGAGGTCGAGCTTTCATACATATACCATTGGAAGCCACTTCCCTCCTCGCATTGCCCTTTCCGTCACTACCTACTGCCTTGTTTTATAAATCAATAAATAAATAAATAAAAACTCTACCTTGCTCTTCATCCCCACCCTCTTCTTCTTTTCTTTTATGTCAATTTTTGTATGATACAAGAATATATATATATATATAGGATGATAAAATACTTGATGTCTTCACTTATTTATGTACCATCACGGACATATAATAACATTTTAATTTAAATATAAAAAAGAATGTCACTAAGAGTCATGTGTTCATAAGATTTTAAAGCAAAATTTTATTTTTTAAATGCTAAAAATAAAAAAAAAAGGTTTATAGTGGGATAAAGCTAAATTATTTTTGAACGGCAAACTAGATTCATTCATGATTATTACATTGAATGCTAATATTCCACTAAGATGTTTAAGCTTACGCATTCACACACACCTGAAAGAATGACATAAAAAAAGTTTCGTGATTTTAAAATTAATAGAAAACTACGAAAAATTTAAAGCGCGTCCATTTTATATACGATCCTTCAATAGTTGTTCCTTACAGTTATTATTACAAGGTACATGACAAGTTTGATTTTAAGATTGGTCTAGCAATATCACAGAGAATAGGTATTTGATAATTTGTGGAACTGATGAGATCAGTACTCCTTCCAAAATAATCTAAGGATAGCAGAAAGACATGCAAAAGAAAGTTGTCATGTGATGCGTGTTCTTGCATGGTCGGCCCATCATCATGTAATTCCTTCAAGAATCAATTTTGAATCCTATATATCATTCGAGCACATAAACTCCTTTTAATCTGATGTTATAAACTTATAATATATCTGGACATGAGAGTTATACATACATACATACATACATATTTCCTTTGGAGCCAGAAGTCTGCTGATTATAAGCACCAGTTAACTTACTTAATTAGTCATAATAAAATTTTTCTGTGGACGCATAGTGAAGAAATTCACAATCAATTAGGCAAATGGATGGGGTTCTTATATATATATATGCGCATGCGCATAGGATCGAACCAAAGAAAAGTAATAAAAAAGATCCTGTATATAGGATCGGAGGAAGTAATGGTTAACATATATAGCCAGATCACTGTGACAATAAGACTAAATGCTCAGAGCATGCCATCACAATACGGTGCGCAACAACTGAATCATCAGCTTTGAAGATGAAAGGAGTGCAAATCTATAACTGATATGCGTGTGCGTGTATACAAGTGTACATGTGGTGCACTATATATTACAAGTTGAAGCTCAAAATCAGCACTCTATGATTGGTGCAATTCCATCGTTGGTAGGATACGGAAAATTATAATTATATTTACCACTAAAAGTACATTAGAATTTTGTCACATAATCAAGCTGATGATCGATCAAAATATTAATCATATACAACGAGCAATATATTATATATACTATATCATATATGCCGGTTAATGGAATAATCTGAAACGGATAGCACATTCATCAGTTTCTTTTTTCTTTCTCGGCTCACCATTAAGTTCTATATATAGCACTCCTTTTGTTTGTATGATTGTCATCTACATTTTATCCTCCAACTACGTTCATTCGCTTCAAACAATTTGGCTTTCTCATTGCTACTTAATTATCAGGCTCATTCACGCGATCTATAACAAATATCTGTCCCTAATTTCGACATAGCAAGATAATCATACAAGTGAAGAAAGTTCAAGAAGGAAAAAACTTGAGAGATATACATGCATCAAACCTAAAGTGGCCGTAAAGGATATACAGAGCAGAAATCAAGAGAGGCTAAGTGTGAACGGCCTCAATTGCTTTATCTGAGAGAGAGCAAATATATATGAAGCACTCTTCCATAAGCATGACGAGAAATAAGATCAAATCAGACCAACAATTGGGCGACAGCAAAAGATCACTACCTACCTGTAGTGCGTCGGTGTGCGCTGCAGATGCACGTACTTGTAGTGGGGAAGATGTTTTAGGCCTGTAATAGAGAATAGGTATGTGTGTGTGGAAAAAATATTTCAGGGGAGAGAGGAGAAATGGACAAGATTAATAGGAGAATTTATATCTTAATTGAAAATCTCAAAACTTAAATTTATAAGTTATTCCTCTTTATTTTATATTATTTATTAAATTTAACTTTATTAGATGTATAATTTTTCACTTCAATTTAAGTCTACAAAAGACTATCAAATATTTATCAGAAAACTATAAACTTGAAGTCTGAAGTCGCGACCTAATTATTTGCATCTGGCTCAGTGCGAATGAGGATATTGTTTTAATTTTCCATATGTCCTATTGGACCGTCCTTAGGAACCCTCTAAAATGATCGGGTCCGGTTCCCTATATAAACCCACCACTTCTTTGCTAAGACCATGGTTGTGGGAATTCAGCATTTTCCCATGGCAACTTCTAAGCTTATCAGTGTTGCTTTCTTTACGTTATTGGGTTTAGGCATTTGTGTTGGTGCCAGATCACTCCTTGATCTGGAGGGGGGTCTACACTTTGGTGCTGATGTTGCGCATCATGACAGTGTGGTAGTCGGAGGTTATGGGGGCGTTGGAGGGTCTGGTGGAGGGGGAGGATATGGAGGCGCTGGAGTGCATGGTGGTGGTGGCTATGGAGGAGGAGCTGGAGGAGGTGAAGGTGGTGGTGCAGGATATGGACCTGGAGGAGGAAGTGGAGGAGGAAGAGGTGCCGGTAAAGGAGGCGGTGAAGGCTATGGAGGAGGGGTAGCTCACGGGGGAGGGTATGGAGGAGGCGGTGGCTGGGGCAGTGGTGGAGGCGGAGGCGGTGGTGTGCTGGGGGTGCTGGTGGCGGTTATGGAGGCGGGGAAGGACGTGGAGCTGGTGGGGGATACGGAGGAGAGCATGGAGGAGGATATGGAGGTGGGGGAGGAAGTGGAGGTGGCGGAGGAGGTGGTGGAGCTGGTGGAGCTCATGGAGGTGGGTATGGCAGTGGAGGAGGAGCAGGTAGAGGATATGGCGGAGGAGCTGCTGGTGGCGGTGGAGGCGGATCTGGAGGAGGCGGTGGCGGCGGCTATGGTGGTGGCGGCGCTCACGGAGGCGGATATGGAGCAGGTGGTGGCAGTGGCGAAGGAGGTGGCCACGGTGGATATCATCCCTGAGGTTGGATTACAGGCTTACAGCAGCTCCTCTTACTCACATAATAAGAGAAGTCACGTTGTACTATGAAAATTTACAATAAAAAAATGGGTATGAGGATGCATAAATAGTAATGAGTGTTGTTGTGTTTGCTTTGTTTTCGTGTAACATGCATGTCAAAAACAGGCCGTCCAAATATTAACTGATGGCTACGCACATTACCAGCTTCAGTAATTATGCCCTGGAACAAAGACAAATGACAGAATAAGGGAATTTCACTTCTGGGGACGCATTGGACAAATGTTGAGCATTGGCGTCAGAATAAATGGATAAGAGGGAATCGTTATATTTATACATATGTTATCACTTTTCAGACAAAATCATGAGACGTGCGGCATACCAGGAAATTCTTTTTGGGTGTATGGAAAATATTAATTGATATGATTGAATTTAAAGTGGAAACCTACTCTTAATAGTCTCATCTAAAGCATAGAGGCGAAAATGTGTAGATGAAAATAAAATGCTTGTTATAAGAAATGAGTACTGCTGACTAATATTGTATGGTATCAAAGATTAAGTGCATTGCTCCTAACCCCTAACTCCAATTCTGAGGCCTGACAAATCGCAGAGTGGTGCATCAATTGTGTTGGCAGGGAAAACAGAAAAAGAGGATGCAGTACAACATGTGCTCCTTCCATTTCATACGAGAGAAAGTTAGTTAAATTAAATATACTGTTTGAATTAAACAGCTCTACATTAATGTTTTGCCGCAGGAATGAAAACTCTAAATTTATTGAAAGTAAGCTTAAAAATTTATAATAAATATTTATCGAAATATACTCCCTTCGTTTTGAATTATAAGACTTTTTTATATAAAATTTCATATATTAATAAATTTCATTAAATATATTTAATAATCTTATTTTTTTAAAATAAAAATATAAATTTTTAAAAATATTTATCATTTAATATATTAAAAAAGTGATAAAAATTAATTATAAAAAATATATTATAATTAATATATTTAATAAATTTTTAATTTATTCAAAATTTTTTATATTTTAAAATAAATATTTTTTAAAAAATATTTTATAATTTAAAATGGGAGAGTATAATTTTAATTGTATGCAGCGTTGGTGGGTGCGTACGTGATTAGACTGCAAATGTTTCAGTTGGCAAAGCTTGACTGCCTTATTCATTTGATTAGTACGTTTGGCTCATTCGGTCCCACCCACCACGCCTTTTTGCGTCGGGAGGGGGTCTCTCCTTTTTCTTCCCTCATTTTCCCTCCGCTACTCCAATCTTCATTATTCATTATTATTTTATTAAATAATTTTTTGAAATTATAAAATGAATGAAAGGTAAAGATTAGAGAAATGAAGAAAAAAAAAGAGGTGAGACTCCTCTCCCTCTTTTGGCGTCCCAGGGGAACCACTACCTATGTTTCGTGTCTTTTCATTTCCACCAATCAATATATGGATATATCAGCAGTGCGTGGGTGAACGCACACTCCTTCCATGTAATAAAATACTTTTTCCTCGTCACAATAAAAAATATTAATAATTAATTTATAATTAAAAAAAATGTTTATTGAAGGTATTATTGGAAAACAACTTACAAGTTATGAGGATTATGTAACGTTCTCAGTCTAATAGCAAAATTATCAACACAAAATGTGCTGGATAAAGGTGTTATTGCCTCAATTTCTCAGCAACAAATACATAAACAGACAAAGAAGTTACTCAAAGTGGCCACTGATATAGAGTACCATTAGAGCTGAGGAAATTAACAAGAAAGGAATGAGCCACAAAATTCTTCTCTCCCTTCCAGTTGTTGAGAATCACTCTTATTCACCTCTGGCCCATTAGTTCGTAGCTCCCAAACCAATGCAAATGTCACATTAGGCCCGTTCGTTACAGATTATCATATATATATATATATATATATATTTGGCACATTGAAAATAACTTACAGCTCCAACAGTTATTATAGCCCCTGTAGTGTGACCAGGGATAATTTTAGATATTTCTTGTGGTATGCTACCCAAATATCAATTTGAATTGTCATTATTTTTTTTTTTGTCCAACAAAAAGTCAATTTTATTAATATGAAAAAATCATTACACTCACTAATACGGACAAAATCAGAAAGCAAAAGAAAAGTAGAACCTGCAACCAAACCAAAAGGTAAAGTAAACAAGTAAGCCTAAAAGTACAACCTTCTGAAAGCATTACAAGCAAGCAGTACACAAAACAAACAACGTACTCAGAAAAAACAAGATTTAATCAGCCAATTCTGCTTCTATCTTTCCTCTCAGCTAAAACTCTGTTCCAATCCATCCTCAGCGACACGGCAAGTGGAGATGTTGGCGACTTGGCTCAAGAGCCCACCCTTCTAGGTCCATCCCCGCCCCTGCTGCAATACAATATGCAGCACAATTACCCTGGTTACGCACCAGAGAAAAAGAACAATTGGAGAGATTATTCAGCAAATTAAAGATCTCTTCCATAACTAAAAAACTCTTCCAGTCACACCCTCTATCATCCCGTTGCATCAGAGCTCGGTACAGCAGCTCATCATCAGTTTCAACAATCACCCTTTTATCCCCCAAATTCTTTGCCAAATCCAGCCCCTTCTCCACAGCAACAGCTTCCGCCGCAAATGCAGATCTCGCCACAATTTCTAAATAACTAGAAATGATGACATATAATATTTTATTTAATTAAAATGGTATAATTTTATTGAATAGTTTACAAGTAACGTGATGCGTTGTGCCTATACAAAAATTTCTCTGTTCACCCCTGATATCTGAACTATCCACATTCCACATCAGCAAAACCATTTGAGCTAACCTTAAGCAGGTCTTATCCTATTTTTTTCCCCTTTAATTAGAATCTCATATTATAAGCAATTCGATAATTCCACTGGTCTTTATACACACACACACACACACACACAAATAATTTATTCATTAAGACCAAGAAATACAATTGAAATTAATTGAGGTTCATAGATATATTACATATTTAATTTTCATTAAAAAAAATACACATATTGGAGGTGGCTTAGTGTCTAATGATGCTAACCTAATTATATTTCATAAAGTAGGGTATAAATGAAATAATTCAACAAATATTTCAGACATTGAATCGGTATTTATTGTATTTAGAGCCAAGAGAATATTCCTAAAAAGAAGTTTTCAATGTAAATGATTAAAAGAAGGAATATTTTAAGAAAACTAAATATTTTTTTACTAGTAACTAATATAGCCATTGGCCAAAAAAAAACTAATATAACTAATGTTCTTGATATGAATTAATATCTAGTTTCTCTTTTTAGTACAGAAAAGAAATAAAAGAGACAGAATGTCATTGAAGGCCCTCAAAATAAAGATAATGGCATTTTGTGCTCATATAATTCTAAAATTTTTCTTCAGTTATGTGACAATGCGTTTCAACGTAAAATGTCTTAAATATTCTTGATGCAAATGTAGGATTTTGTTTTGTCTTACAGCAAGGTGTTCAGATATTGATAACCGTGTTTGAATTTTAATGAGTGATTTTCTTCTAAATTATCGTTCACTAAAAATTCTATATTAACTTAAAAATTAACAAGTACTCTTTCCATTAAAAAATATAAGACATTTTTTAAGAAATTAGATGTTTAAAAATGTAAAATATTTTTAAATCTTTTGAGGTGTAATCATTGTTTTTTTTTTAAAGTGTCCCTATTGATAATAACTTTATATTTATTATAGGGTATTTAATAGGGATAAATATAAAAAGATGGAGTTAGTTTGAAATTAGGTAATCACTTTATTGAAGAGATAAAATTTAATTAAAAATACTTCCATGGAGGGAGTAAAAGCTATGCAATTGACATTGACATATTCTAATTTGACAAGTCAATCTTTGGTTAGATCATATTATATTTTAAAAATAAAATTTCATGTTATCTTAAAAAATTAATAAGTGAAAGTCGTCAATTCACAACCATACAAGTTGATTTTGAAAAGTTAATCTCTAGTTGCTATAGATCACATTTTTAAAATGAAATTTCAAGTTTCCCTAAAAAAACCAATTAGGGCAATTAACAAATTATGCAAATTTTCACAAATTAACATATAAATTTTGAGTAAATGATGAGCTTGTTATCAAAATTTGAACATCTAGTTATAAATATCAAAACAATATATTGTAATTGGATTAGGGGTATTTTAAACTTTGTCATTTCAAAATATATTTTCATATATTTTAAATAATATATTTTCATTTTCAAAATATATTTTCAAAACAATATATTTTCATTTAATAGAATGAAGAATCTAAATAACCAACGAATTGAGTTTTTCATTACAACTGCGAAGTTTTCAGACTCATTTAATAGTATGTGTAGCATGACCCATACTGCATGGGCCTATTCTTCTTGTCATTTATATTGTTTTCAGTAAGGCAGCCCCCGAATCAAAACGTGATGCTGAGTCAAACAATTGTTGCGCCTATATCGCTTTTATCTTCGACTTTGATGTTCAAAGCCCTTGATCGTGGACTATTACCATTTCTTTTTTATATATATATATATATATATATAAAATTATTCATTATTTATTGACAGAATTCAGGTAGAATCACATTACGATAAACCTCTTCTAGCAAGTATTTAACACAACTATAAATTCAAAACTCAAAGTTGAAATTATTGATTAAGTCAGTATAACTCTTCATCAGTTGAATTATTTGCTCATTAGTGAATTATTACAATTTCTCATTTGTCTTTTTTGTTTTACCATCATTACAATTTCTCCTTTACTATTTATTGTTCACTTGAAACAAATAAGGTCAATAAAATTGGGCCTTTTCTGTTAGAAAAAATAAATGTTTATTTGAATCGTGTTGTGCCTAAGAAAGATAAAAAAAATGGACCAAAACAATTAACAGGGTTAAATCCAACATAAAAATTTAATATTTTAAAATATAATGAATTAAAATTTGAATTTATTAACAAAGCGCTTATATTAAATACTCATCTGTGACTTGCGACATCTGTATTCAATTTTTTTTAAAAAAATGGACTAAACTCATTCCGTCATTTTCCCAACTACTCACCAACCCCTCAACTTTCAAGTTTCAATTTCGACCATCCTTTTCACTTTTCTAATTTTTTACTTGATTTTTTTTATTCTGGAAAAGATTTTAACTCGAAATTCAATATCAGCATTTATATACTAGAAATTTTACATGATACGATTTTTAAAACCATAATTTTATGTATTCTTTTATTAAATAGTA